ATGGAACCAATATCTTGTCTGTCTTCTAGCTTCTAAACCTTAAAAGGATCTCTGCTTCTTTCTTTCCTCTCTCTTGCTCACATCTGAATGTACATCAAAATCTTGTTAACTTTTTCTCTTCTGTAATATCAGTGAAAACCATCTCTATTTTCTCTACTCCCTTATCCCTAATCTTAGACCAGCAATAATTTCTCTACTGGGATCTCAGCCTCCTGTTTCCCTACCTAACTTAATTTATGTTTACCTGTCAGGTTAGGTTTTCTTGAGGCACCGTTATTATACATTCCTGCTCAAAAACCTTCAGCAATCCTCAATGATTACAGAAAAGCATCTAAATTCCTTATCCTGAGTGCAAGAACCTCTCCATTTTGTCTTATAGAACTTTTTTTAAATTTTATTTTAATTTATTTTTTCAAATACATTTGTCTCTGCCTACCTCCCACCACTTTCTGTTACCCCCTCCCACCTTCCCTCCCTCAGCTCTTTCCTTTTAGTTTTGTCCATGAGTCCTTGCTATATGTTCCTTGACTTTCCCCTTCCCTTCCTTTTCCCCGTCCCCCCTCCCTCCTTCCCTCTTGTCTCTGTTGATTTCTTTTCCTTTCAGTGTTGCTGGTCTTATTTTCCTTGCATCTTTGTATTGTTGGTTAGGTTCCACATATAGGTGAGATCATATGGTATTTGTATTTCACCCCCTGGCTTATTTCGCTTAGCATAATGCTCTCTAGTTCCATCCATGCTGTCACAAAGTTTAGTAGTTCTTTATTTCTTTCTGCTGCGTAGTATCCCATTGTGTATATGTTCCATATTTTTTGATCCAATCATCTACTGATGGGCTTTTAGGTTGCTTCCAACACTTGGCTATTGTAAATTGTGCTACTATGAACATTGAGGTGCATAGGTTCTTTTGTGTTGGCATTAGAACTTTTTATACTCTGTAATTCAGTTAAGAAAAACTCTACTCCATGCTTTCTTTCTTCCTTGACTCTTCCTTCTACTTTGAATCAGTGCCTATGGTCAGTGTTTAAAACACAACTTGATGAATAGTGGTATTGGAGTTTTGAACATGAAATGTTAATTTATTAGAGGTCTTAATGAATTGGCTAATAAAATAGCATTAAACTATGTTATGATAGTAGATAAGCTATCACTCACTTCTTAGTATTTCCTTATTTGTCTTATTTTCTCTTCCCTTCTTAGTTAAAGGAAGAAGTGATCATTGAAAAATTAACCACAATGAATTCTCTGTATTTATTACTTTTAAGATTTTGGTCATTTATCCAAGTCTTAACAGGGGTAATAAACACCACTATTATTCTATAAACTATAGTCTTACACCACACAGAAAAAATTTTACAATGAAAAATATAAATTTCTTACCTTAGAAAGAAACACTGTAATATTTAATATTATTCAGTGCTTTTAGCATTTAATTCAAAGATACTGGAATTTAAATTTTATTGTAGTTATGGAAATTATAACATTGTATTTTCAACCTATTTATATATGTGGCCGTAATTCATGTAAATTTATTAATTTCATGTCCATCTAGAAGATTGTTTCTACACTTGTTCCAATAAGTTGTTTAAAGAAATCTGTATCAAGTCCTGTTTGCTATGGAAATATTGAAATAAAGCAAGGCATAATACTTAAAAAATGACATTAGTAGTATACCAACAATGAAATATCTGAAGCAGAAATCAGGAAAAAAGTCCCATTTGCTATAGCAACAAGAAAAATAAAGTACCTAGGTATAAATTTAACCAAGGTGACAAAAGACCTGTATGCAGAAAACTATACAACACTGAAGAAAGAAATTAAGGAAGACACAAATAAATGGAGGCATATACCGTATTCATGGATTGGAAGAATTAGCATCATCAAAATGTCCATACTACCCAAAGCAATTTATAGATTCAATGCAATACCTATTAAAATACCAATGACATATTTCACAGACATAGAACAGACAGTTCAAAAATTTATATGGAACCATAAATGACTCCAAATAGCTGCAGCAATTTTGAGAGAGAAAACAAAGCAGGAGGGATCACAATACCAGACATAAAACTATATTACAAGGCCACTGTAATCAAAACAGTCTGGTATTGGCATAAGAACAGACACATAGATCAATGGAACAGAATAGATAGCCCGGAAATACACCCATGTCTCTATGGTCAATTAATATTTGACAAAAGGCAGAAATTTACAAGGTAGTAAAACTAAACTCTTCAACAAATGGTGTTGGGAGAGCTAGACAGCTACATGCAAAAGAAAATTGAAATTTGATTGCCAACTGACACCATACACAAAAATGGATAAAAGACTTAAATATAAGTCATGACACCATAAAAGTTCTAGAGGCAAACGTAGGCAGGAAACTCTCAGATATCCCATGCAACAATATTTTCACCAATATGTCCCCTAAAGCAAGGAACATAAAGGAAAAAATAAACAAGTGAGAACTCATCAAATAAGAAGCTTCTGCATGGCTAAAGAAAACATCAGCAAAATTAAAAGGGAACCAACTGTATGGGAAAACATATTTGCCAATGATACATCAGATAAAGGTTTGATCTCCAAAATATGTAATGAACTCACACAACTCCACTCCAAGAAGACAAACAATCCAATTAAAAAAAATGGGCAAAAGACCTGGGCAGACACTTCTCCAAGGAAGGGATACAGAGAGCCCAGAGACATATGAAAGGATGCTCAGCATCACTAGCCATTAGAGAGATGCAAATTAAAACCACAATGAGGTACCACTTCACACCGGTCAGAATGGCCATCATAAACTGATCAACAAAGAGCTGGTGCTGGTGAGGCTGTGGAGAAAAGGGAACCCTAGTACATTGTTGGTGCAAATGCTGACTGGTGCAGCCATTGTGGAAAGCAGTGTGGAATTTCCTCAAAAAGTTAAAAATGGAACTGCCTTTTGTCCCAGCAATTCCACTGCTGGAATTATATCCTAAGAATCCCAAAACACCAATTCAAAAGAAACTATGCACCCCAATGTTCATATTTACATAAACACAATAGCACAATTTATAATAGCCAAGTGTAGGAAGCAACCTAAGTGCCCATCAGTAAATGAGTGGATCAAAAAACTATGGTACATTTACACAGGAAGAAAGAAAAGAAAGAAAGAAAGAAAGAAAGAAAGAAAGAAAGAAAGAAAGAAAGAAAGAAAGAGAGAAAGAGAAAGAAAGAAAGAAAGAAAGAAAGAAAGAAAGAAAGAAAGAAAGAGAGAGAGAAAGAGAGAGAGAGAAAGAAAGGAAGGAAGAAAGAAAGAAAGAAAGGGCTTCTACCCTTTGCGACTGCATGGATGGAATTAGAGAGCATTATGTTAAGGGAAATAAGCCAGGGTGTAAAAGATAAATGCCATATGATCTCACCTACAAGTGGAACCAACCAGCAAAACAAACAAGCAAGGAAAATATAACCAGCAACATTGAAAAAAAAAAAAAAAAGAAACCAACAGAATCAAGAGGGAAGGGGGGTGCAGGGAAATGGAAGGGAAGGGTCAAGTCAAGGAACATGTATAAAGGACCCATGGACAAAGCCAAAGTGGGAAAGGATTGAGGAAGGGAGAAGGGGGAAGGGGACAGGGGAATGTGGTGGTGGGAAGGTAGAGACAAGTGTATTTGAACAATAAAATATTTAATTAAAAAATAGCATTAATTGAAGTTAGGAATTATTTCTTCCTAGAAATATTACTATTTATATGTCAGACCAATATTTAAAATGATTCTTTCCATTTTCATTAAATCAATGGTCCTATTTCTTTCTGATAGAATTATAACTTTAAAAAATCTTTCTTCCCAATAAAGTTATATTCTGAGGACCAAAATTCCTAAGATAAGGTTATAGCCATTTGAGAAATAAGAATAAGAGGAAGATCAATGTACTACAGTAATATTATATCACCCATCATATTGAACTGATAAGTGTCTCCATGTTATCAGTTTATACAATAAAGGATCATTCCTTGCCACATAAAGTCCAGAGCAGAACAGTTGAGAGAAGTTGTCCAGAGAGAGGCTCTAGGATCAAGGCTCTCCCCATCATATGATACCACCATCTCAACACATGGATACATAAGAAAAATGGCACTGATTTTCACACATGTCTTTTCTTTAGTATTTTATTGATTATAACTAGTCACATGGCCCTTTTGAACTGCAAGGCACCTGGGAAGTGTAGGGGAGCGCATGGAACATTTGATGAGTACTATCAGCTCTGCAACATGAAATAAAGAGAAGTGTGAAGAGTGTATGCTGGTAGAGCCCCAAGGATTAATATAGGTGATAACAATCTGCTTATTACTAGCTATGCAATTTTTGGTAAGGTGTTTAACCCTCTGGGTCTCAGGTTTCATATGTATAAAATACGTATTACTATAATAATACCTATTGTATAGGATGCATAGGGTTGTAGAGTTTATAATTCCTGTAAAGCAGTTGGAAGAGTGCCTGGGACATTCTAAGTTTGAGTTGATGCTAGTTATAATTGTTATTAATGCAGAAAACTTGTGGTAAGAGACAAAGAGAACCATGACTTGGAATAAAGTTCTTAAAAATATGGCTTAATGGGAAAAATAAAGATATCTTTCAGCCTTCACAAGCTTTGGGGAAATAATCATGGTGGCCAAGTGTCTATCAGGAAGTTTTCTTTAGAAGTTTGGATAAATAAAAAATATAGTTGTTTTGTTATTATACTTTTAAGGGACTCTTTCTGAAAATTATACTCAGAAGACCAGATTTTAAGCTAAAGCGTGGATAAAGAGGACATAGTTGATAATACCAGCCTTTTAATTATTATGCAGTTAAATGAACTGCAGGATGAACTTTATACACACTGTGAAAGGAAATGGTAGAGGCATTCATTTGTGAGTAAAAATGACAACTTTGGTGTTCAGATGAGCCAGATAGACAATGGAACCTATGCAGAGCAGTGGTTGTTTATAGCACATACTCCAGAGCTAAGTTGTAGGACTCCAAGACTCAAATCTGCTTCTTATTGACTATGAAGTATTAATCCTCTTGTTTCTCAACTTCAATATCTATAAAATGGGAATAATAACTGTACCTGGTTACCCAATAAGATAGTTGTGAGGATTAAAGGCATTAATATATTTAAAGCACTTTGAAAATGCTAGGCCCATAGCAAATTCTTATTAATTGTTAGTTGTTGTTGTTGTTGTTGTTATCTAGCTGTGGACAATGAAGAAATATAAATCATAGTAAAGATGTTCAGGAAAGGAGAACAAAAAGTCATGATGAGAAGTGAAGAAAAATGTCAGTGGTGCTCAGCAAATACTGACTGAGATATAGTAAATTGTGGAACAGAGTGCCCAAGGATGAGGTAGGATCTGTGCTGATGTAACATAAGCTCAGGGAAAATATGTAGAGTATGCTATAGGAAGTGTTCTTATGCTTGTGAAGTTATGAACGAAGTGGCCTAATAAGGCATTTTTCACCTTGAATTTCTCTGATGACTGGTTTAGAAAGCTAGAGAGACTGAAAGATTGTTCTTTTCAGAGAGGGAACTACTTTAAGCATTTATGTCAGGTAAGTGTGTCCTGATTTAGGCAGAAATGTGGTTCTAAGTTCAGTGTTGTCATCTGTCATTGCTTATAAAGGTAAGGTCTATTCGGTTTCCAAAGTCAAATGCAAAGCGGAGGCAAACACCTGGCTGATTTGGACCAAAATGTCTAGCAAAATGAGAGGGAGGAAGCTTTTACATTTAAATTATCTTGAAAATTATTTTATTTCCCACCCTTGTTTTGCATGTTATAAACATTCCTGACTTCTATGCATTTTGTATAAAAAGTTTATAAATTGAGGACTTTTTGACATGCCCTAATGAAGGATGTTTCTCTACTCTGACATTTCTTGGCATCACTTTGAATACATCAGACAACACAGATGCCAGGAACATATTCAGATAAGTAGCCTCTACTTTCAAGTTTGTTTTTCCTTAGCCAGAGGTAGGTAACTTAGGTTCATTGGTAGAAGTAATGGAGGAGAAGATCCCCTCCCCCAAAGTCATTACAGTGTACAGAAATTGGAGCATAGTGAGTCTTTAAAAAGACACTTTCAATATTTTATTGTTTATGCTTGAAAATAAATAAAAACTCTCATCTTCTTCATAAAAGTTACTAAATGTAAAGATTTTCAAACTTTGGCTGATAGAAAAGATATAATGATTATCTGTGTACATATATACATACATACATATAATTATATACATATATTTATACATATTTACTCGTCTTTTAATGAACCAGGTTCAGAATCTCAGCAGAAGGAAGACCGAACTTTTTAACTGGTACAGTCTCAGATTATACACAAAGAATGAAAAGCAAGATGGTGCAGTGGAAAACTTCCAGGGTGCAAAATTCAAAGAACTTGTTTTCTGTTGATCTGGGGTTCCAACTCTAAAAACTTGAGTAAGTCATTTAACCTTATAGAGTCTATTTCTCCTCATCTGTAAATGGAAATGATAGTAACATTGTTTTATGATGAATAGGGTTAACATACACATATAATAAATGTCAAAATAGCCTTCTAATTGTAAAATGCTAACAAATGAATATACTATTATATTTATAATACCATCACCATTATACCTGAACTTGTCTTGAAATAGACAGCAAAGACCCCCTTATTCTCAATACATACTCATCTGTGCACATACAAGTATTGTTAAATGTACTATATTTTTTCATTTTTGGCAAAAATATTCAATCTTTTTTTACAAATACTTTTCTATCTTCATGTTAGAAGACAGGAAGACAATAAGTACCTTAAAAATAGGTGAAAGAAATAATAATAACTATCTTCTTTATACTGATTTTATCCATCCATCCATGCCTGATAGTGATTTGTGCATGAATACACCTTTCAGATCATAAAGAATAATTTTAACTTTAGTCTTTTCTCCAGGGGAACAGGAATACTTAATGTCGATGTCTAAAATAATCATTTTTCTGAAAATAACATTCTTCTACTTATTCAGACTTCCTCTTGTCTGGTGTCTTTTTGGCATGAAAGAGACAGCTGGACACTCCAAACCTTATAGGATCCATCTTCTCCTTTGAAAATTCACGACTGGACTCTTGACTTTTGACATCCTTTATTTTACTCTCATTGGAGAGCCCTAATCTGGCAGTCTTGGTATAAGAAGGGAGAGATATTTATAGTACATCAAGTTACTGAATAGGCTTGTGTTTCTATGGTTAAATACTGGGTTAATGCCTCCAAATTAGTAGTGTACTATGTTTACTTAAGTGCTGGAATTTTGTAGAGTTGTAATTGCATTTTGTTTCTAAAACAAAAACAAAAGAAAATACAAGTTGGTGATTTCTTTTTATTTTTATTTCTTTGGGTGACTTAAATTGCCTTATAGTAGCAAACAAGAATGTTACAGAATTGTTTCCCCAGAATCTGATTGCTTTTGGGGGGCTACTCCCAGGAAATCACTAATAGAAAGGGTGGCACTTACGTTTTGTTACTTAACCAATTTTTGACTTTTTAACATTTTGTCTGACAGTCAAGGTAATTGGTGAAATATGAAATCTATATGCACTAATAATTACTCAGGAGTCTTAGAACATATTTCAAATTATTCAAAACCAAGAAGAATATTTTGGTGGAGGTAATGGTATTCCTAAAGCAAATTCACAGTGTCATAAGAGCTCAAATTAAAAGGCATTTTGGTCCCAAAGAGAATTCCAAATAATTTCTGTAGGTATTTCATACCACCCTCTGCCAAGGAGAGGGAGCATAATTCCTATTCCTTAGAGATGAACTGTATACAGTGACTTGCTTACAGAGTATACAGTATGGAAATCGAGGAAGGAAGGGGAAGGAAGAGAAATTTTACAGTTGAAAAATCTGAAAAATTCTACCTTAGTCAGATAATTAAGGCCAACACTGACAGTTACAAATCATGTTGACAATATGTACCCTTGATATGGAGCAATGAAGATGGCATCTTATGTCTGTGATTTTCCTCCTAATATCTCATATGCCCAGTCTTATCTTGAGAAAAACCATACACAAATTCCAACAGTGAAGTATCCTACAAAGTACCTGACTGGTATTCCTGTAAACTGTCAAGATCATCAAAAGTAAGGAATGTTTGAGAAACCATCACAACAAAGGGAAGTTTGAAGAAACAAGAGGTATCAGCCAAAGCATCTAGAGGAAAGAAGGCCATTAACCGAAAGAATTTTCAACTTTGTCCATGATATAAATTTCAGGTATACTTGTTGCCTTTCTTTTTTCTTCTTTTTCTTTTTGCCTATATTTTTTTGCCTAAAATAAAAGCAAAATTATCTTTACTTATATATTACATTTGGATGTCTGGAAATATCAAAAGTATCCGTTTAAAAACTACCATAATAATAAAGAATTTCACAGTGTCATATTATCAAATAAGCTTTTAAACAGTAAAACAAAAAATATTTAATAAATATAATGGAAAGTAGACAATAAAATAAAATGCGATGAAATAAAAGAAAATACCTAGGTGTATATTTTTAAATATTTTTAAAACTATATGAAGAAAACTATAGACACTTCCCCCAAAATGCAAGAGTAAACTTAAAAAATGGAAAGGCATTCTATGTTCTTGGAAAGGATGATTCAACATTATAAAATTGTTAATTATCCTTAAATGTATATATTTTAATACTATCAAGTTTTTATTTTTTATGATCAATTTTACAAGTTAATTAAAAATTTTAGTTGAAATAACAAACCAGAAAGACTAGCCAGGAAAAGAAAAAAAAAAAGAGTGGAGCAGATAAAACACAGTATACAGCTTATATGATGCAAAGAAAGGGGTTTGTATACAGGAGTTGCACCGCTGAATCAGAATAGAAAATACTGAAGTAGCTTCAATTATAATTGCAAATCACAGGGGAAAGATGGTATGGCAAAACTGGATGGTCTTATGCAAAAATAAACTTCAAGTGTATCAGAGATTTAAATGTAAGAAGTTATATCCAGAAGTTCTAGAGAAAATACAGTAGAGAAAACTTTCCTATGTCTCAAAATTCAGAAATAATAATGAAAAAAAAGATTAATACACTTGATAAGAAATACAAATAAATTTTGCATCACAGGAGAAAAAAGATAAAAAGGCAAAAAGTATATTTGTAATTTACATTGTGAACAAAAGGCTATCTCTTATGTAATATGAGCTTCTAAAACAGTAAGGTAAAATTAAATTAAATTTAACTTTACCTCAAAAAATACCCAGCATGTTGAAAAATTTCACCTCCTTTTTAATGCAAAGAAATTTAAAAAAATCATCAATCCAGTGATAACGTGTACATGTAAGATTCAGATTGTTCTTTTTTATCCTCAACCAAGGATGTTTTTTCATTGCATTTAGAGAGAAAGGGGAGGGAAGGAATGAGAGAGAGAACGAGAAATGGAGGGGGGAAGAGAGAAACAACCATATGAGCAAGAAACATTGACTGATTGCCTCCCATAGGCTCCCTGATTACACCAGCCACAGCTAGATTGTGTTCCTTAAATCTTATTTTCTGATAAAAGGAATCAGGACCCTGAAGACATGACCGATTGTAATAGGAAATACAAAAGATTCACCTGAAACATTGTGTCATACCAGAAAGCAAGAAAGCTCAAGAAAACTGTAAGGCTAATAGGTTATGCTCAAAAGGAACTGTCTTTTTCTATTTATTATTTTAAAATATATTTTATTGTTTATGCTATGACGGTTGTCTCACTTTTTCCCTCTTTGCTCCACTTCACCCAGCCCGCCTGCACTTCTGTAATCAGCCCCTCCATGAATGTCCCTGCCCATAGATGCTTCATATATGTTCTTTGACTAATCCTTCCACCTTCTTTCACAATCTGCACCTCCATGTTCACCTCCCCTCTGGCTGCTGTCAATATGTTCCATGTTGTGATGTCTCTGGTTCTGTTTTGCTTGTTAGTTTATTTTTATTCATTAAATTCCTCTTAAAAGTGGGATCAAATGGTATTTGTCTTTCACCAACTGGCTTACTTCACTTAGCATACTAATATTCATTTCCAGCCATGCGGTTAGAAAATGCAGGAATTCATTCTTTCTTTCTGCTGCATAATATTCCATTGTACAGATGTACCATCATTTTTTTTATCCACTTATCTACCTGTGGGCACTTAAGCTCTTTCTAAATCTTGGCTATTGTAAATAGCGCTGCTATGAACATTGTTGGGAACCTCCCCACCTGGTTTCAGGGACTGTAGCTTCACTGACAGGTAAGAGAGCCCCAAGGCTGGAGGTGAGCAAAGAGGCCTTGGGAAAATAGACCACTGAAGAGACAAAACCTGTCCCCCTGGCAAGGGCACAGCCCCTGCCTCCTTCACATCACCCTGCTTGGCCCCAGAAGATGGCTGGTTAGTCAATGACAGGTAAGACCCCTCGATGGCAGGGGAAACCTAAGACAGGCACAGTCACATAGGGGCCATCAGGGAAGGACTTGGGGGACACAGAGGAAGGGAAAAAGACCCTCACCCCTCAGCTTTGATACAGCCAGAGTCCTCATTCTGTCTGAAAGAAGTCTACTTATCTCTTGGTGGCTCTGCCCCGCCCACCTAGCTCAGGCTTGAAACAATACTAAGGACAGGTACAGTCCTCAACTGGATCCCAAGGTTCCCAGGAACAATTAGGTCTGGAAAAAGAATGCATTAAACCCTATGAAACTTACTTTGCTAAGAATGCCCTCGAGTTAATGAGTACTGATGTTTGGGGTTGAGCATAGAATGTGATCAGTTTCCCAGGTTTCCAGGCTGAGTGGGCCCCACCCTGATGTGAAGCAAATCTCTTGTGTTCCTTCGATTGTTATCTATGACCTCTATTTGTTTTCTGTAAACACAGCCTTTTGACATTGATTGATGAGCTTTACATCCATGCCGGTTATACTCCTGTGCATGTGGTTTTCAATAAAAGCCACTTCAAGAGAAAGGCTTGGGGACCTTCTCCACTCCGCTAGTGCCACCCCCTTCCTCTGGTAGACTGAGAAAAGTGTCTGGGATGACTTATTTTATTTCCCCATCTGTGACAATCTGGAGTATACTCTGCAGGACAGAGTCCACACTCCACCTCAGCTGGTGCCTGAACAGGGACCTCCAGAGTTTGCCTCAGAACATATGTGTGAATAAATTCTTTTGAATTGCTGTTTCAGGATTCCTTGGGTTTATTCCCAGCAGTGAGATTGCCGGGTCAAAAAGCAGTGCCATTTTTAATTTTTTCAGGAAATTCAATATTGTTTTCCACTGTGTCTCCATAAGTCTGCATTCTCACCAAGAGTCCACTAGGGTTGCTTATTCTTCACATCCTGGCCAGAACTTGCTGTTGGTTGTTTTGTTAATGATACCCATTTTGGCAGGTGGTATCTCATTGTGGTTTTAATTTACATCTCTCTAATGG